TTCTTCTTCTTCTTCTTCTTCTTCTTCTTCTTCTTCTTCTTCTTCTTCTTCTTCTTCTTCTTCTTCTTCTTCTTCTTCTTCTTCTTCTTCTTGCATGACTTTTTTGGGCAGCCGGTGTTTAAAAGGCGGAAAGCAAGCTGTGGAATCACACCGACATGTTCCATCAGGCTGCCTTTTGTTCTGAAACAAAAGCTGATTTCGCACTAGAGCTGCCTCAATGTTGCGCCGCCGTTTGCCCCGATACTATTGGTCAATTTCACACCCGAAGCTGCGGGGCTGCATTTTGACTCGCGGCTTCGCCCGATTTCCCCCGCAGTTTCGTGATCCTCTTTTTTGAGGATCACGAAACTGCGGAGGAAATCGGGCGAAGCCGCGGGTCAAATGCAGCCCCGCGGCTTCAGGTGGGAAACTGACCAATAGTATCGGGGCAAATGGCGGCGCAACATCGAGGCAGCTCTAGTGCGAAATCAGCCACAGATTGTGCTGTGCTTAACGTGTGCTTGCTTTGCATTTTGACTGTGTTCTTAATGGCTGAATTTGTACATCTTTGGCAAGAGCAGTGACATCTCCTAAGAGGTCCCTGGAAAATCCATGTAGTCTCAAGAGGGGCATGAGGAAAGTAGTCTGTTTCCAAGCTTACAAGCAAGCTGAGAAAGTAGAATGGCTTGGTCATACGAGTGGGAGAACTGTAAGGTAAAGGTAAAGGTTCCCTTGCTCGAAAGCCAGTTGAATCCGAGCGATTCTGCATCTGGCATTTGCTCCACATTTTCTCAACTGGGAGGAAAAGGGTCAGCTCAAAACCACATTCAGATACCTCGGGGCAACGCCATACTGACTGCAAAGTCACCCCTGAATGGCCATAAATCTATGCAGAAGGTACCATAAAATCCGATGATCAAAGAAAGTGAAAGTGGCATGCAGTGTAGAGAGCAATGTTCCCTCTAAACTGTAGAGTCTTGTGAGCAAAAATTCTACTTTGTGAGCTACTAGCATTAAAGTTGTGAGCGAGTGATTTGGCTGCTGCATAAATTAGTCTGCTCTGGAGCCCTCCTTCCTGAGCTAAGACAAAAACGTGTGAGCCGGAGGCTAAAAAACTGTGAGCTAGCTCACACTAACTCAGCTTAGAGGGAACACTGGTAGAGAGTACCATAAAATCCGATGATCAAAGAAAGTGGAAGCGGCATGCAATGCAGAGGGGAATTTCTGTTCCAAGGTGGGTTTGGTAAAACAATGGAGAGAAAAGCCAATGTCGAATCGCCCAGTGAGTAAGAAGGAATCTCATACCACCTTCTGTCTTTTCTCAGAGACCCAGTAAGATTATACAGAACACAGAAGAAATCCCTTTGCTGCCCTTTGCTGCTCTCCGCCATACTCTTCTTTCTGTTGGTTTGTGGACTATGGTGACGGGAAGATGTTGGCTAGGAAGAGCATCATCCCTGAAGAATATGTCCTCGCCCGTATCGCTGCCGAGAACCTGGGCAAGCCACGCATCCGGGACCGCCCACGCAAAGCCCGCTTCATTGCCAAGAACGGGGCCTGCAACCTGGCTCACAAGAACATCCGGGAGCAAGGCCGCTTCTTGCAAGACATCTTCACCACCTTGGTGGACCTCAAGTGGCGCCACACCTTGGTGATCTTCACCATGTCCTTCCTCTGCAGCTGGCTGTTCTTCGCCATGGTGTGGTGGCTGGTGGCCTTTGCTCACGGAGACATGAACTACCCGTGCGTTCAGAACGACAGCAGCAGCAGGTGGAAGCCGTGCGTGACTTGCGTCAGGTAAAGTGTGGCCGTCAGGTTCGAGGATACACTTTGTTTCGTTTCCATTTAGGAGACCATTTATAATCCCCACCTCCCTGCAGAGAAAGTCTGAGATGTAATAAAACCAGCGGTGAAACAAATCCCGACAACCAACTATTACAACTCTGTAGCCTTCCATTTCAAATGGCAGCCGCCAAATTGGCAGAAGGCCCCATTAATATCACAATGGCTGACTTCCCCCCACACACACACAGTGCGTCCAAGCAAGCCCAAAGTATGACTGCATCCACACATCACTGGATATTACACAGTTGTGGCCCTACAGAAGGGGTCCCCAATCTTGAGCCTGTGGGCACTCTGAGATCTAGGGTTGCCAACTCCAGGATGGGGAATGCGTGGAGATTTGGGGGGTGGAGCTTGGGGAGGGAGGGACCTCAGTGGGGTGTAATTCCATAGAGTCCACACTCCAAAGCAACCATTGTCTCCAAGGGGAGTTATCTCTGTTGTCTAGAGATAGGGTTGCCAAGTCTATCTTCGCTGGGAGCAGGCGATGTATAAATTGCAGGATCTGCTTATAGATCTCAACCAGCTTAGATCCATGAGCTCCAGGATGCCTTTTGCAGGCGACAGATTTGATCTCAAGCGAGATCCATGTATGTGGTTCTGGAAAGGAGCAAGCTACAGGGCTATTTTTGGGCAGGAACGCACAGGAACGGAGTTCCGGCTGGCTCCGGAGTTGGCCACACCCAGCTGGAACCCATTAGCATAACAGGCCACACCCAACAGCAGACACTCATTAGGATTGGCTACATTAGGGGTGTGTGGCCTAACATGCAAAGGAGTTCCTGCTACAAAAAAAGGCCCTGGGTTTTGACAACAAACTGTTGGGTGTGGCCTATTATGCTAATGAGTTCCTGCAGGGCTTTTTCTACAAAAAAGCCCTGAGCAAGCAGATATACGCTAATGAGTCCTGTATCCCTTGTTAGCATTAATAACCTAGTGCAGGATTCTCCAGCATGGTACCTGTCGACATCATTCCTGATGCCCACCAAGTCTTTTTAGAAAGTGGGCCGGGCCAGGTGGGGCTTTTGCCCAGCAAGGGTTCTGATTGGCTGCTAGAGATTTGATTGGCTGGGCAGATTTTTTTACAAACGTTGCTGTGGCAGCAGCTGCCACCACTGCCTGAAATAAGCAGCGGCAGCCATTTTGTGGCAGCCGTTTTGTGGCTGTGCCCACCATGCTGTGGCAGTATCCCAAAGGTGCCCACAAGCTCAAAAAGGTTGGGGACCCCCTGATCTAATGTTGGCGTTTGGCCCCACACATACAGTCATCAGAATCGTATCTAAACATTTGCATCCATTGTAGCAGAATACACGGGTCCTGGTGTTTACATGTTTTAAGGTTTCCCTTATATATAATGGAGTCCCATGGTCAATGTTCCCTCTCAGCTGTGGAGTCGCATTGTAGCAGGATACACGGGTCCCGGTGTTTACATGTTTTAAGGTTTCCCTATGTAAAACGAAGTCCCAATGTTCCCGCTAAGCTGTGGAGTCTTGTGAGCAAAAATTCTACTTTGTGAGCTGCTGGCATTAAAGTTGTGAGCGAGTGATTTGGCTGCTGCATGAATTAGTTTGCTCTGGAGCCATCCTTCCTGAGACAAAAATGTGTGAGCCAGAGGCTGAAAAACTGTGAGCTAGCTCACTCTGACTCAGCTTAGAGGGAACACTGCCCATGGTATGGTTGGGCAAACGTAATGATATCTAAACAGGTCTGAGTCAAGTCACTGTCCAGGAGAGAGCTATCTTTGGGTTCCATGATGGGGGGGGGGGAGGCAAGATAGGAATGCAATAATCAGCACATCTTCCTGCATACAGAAAGCTAAAATGCGAAAATGGAGAGTTCTACCTCCTTTGGAGGTTTTCAAACAGAGGCTAGGTGGCCATCTGACAGCAGTGCTGAACTTAGGAAGATCATGAGAGGGAGGGCAGGAAGGGTTGCCTCAGTGCTTAGTTCTCGTGGCCCTTTCTTACACGCCCAGGGAAATGCTGATTGGCACTCTTGGGTCAGGAAGTCGTTTTTCCCCAGGCCGGTTGGCTGGAGATCCTGGAGGTCTTTTGTCATCTTCTGGGCATGGAACAGTGGTCACTGGGTGTGTGTGTGGGGGGAGGGATTTGTAAATTTCCTGCATTGTGCAGGGGGTTCGACTAGATGGTCCTGGAGGTCCCTTCCAACTCTATGGTCCTATGATTCTACCTAGCCTCCTTCTTGACTTCCTATATGTATACTTTCAGGGCTTTTATTTGTAGGAGAACCTTCAGACACGTATACAACCCCTGGCCTCACTTGTGGCCTGTTGTGGTACAACCCAGAAAAGACTTAAACAGGGCTCTTTTTGTAGAAAAAGCCCAGCAGGAACTCATTAGCATAATAGGCCACACCCAACAGCAGGAACTCATTAGCCTATTAGGCCACACCCCTGAAAGCACAGCACATTAACATATTAGGCCACACCCCCATGTTACCAGAAGTGTGCTCATCCAGCCACATCCACCTTTTGCTTCTTATTCTGTTTACCTTGTTTGTGGTCAAAACCCAGGGCTTTTTTTGTAGCAGGAACCCCTTTGCATGTTAGGCCACACACCCCTAATGTAGCCAATCCTAATAAGTTTCTGCTGTTGGGTGTGGAATATTATGCAAATGAGTTCCTGCTGGGCGTGGCCAACTTGGGAGCCAGCCAGAACTCCGTTCCTGTGCGTTCCTGCCCCAAAATAGCCCTGCTTAATCATATGATCCAATGGACTGCATAAACTGAATCACAGCCCTACCACGCACATGCTTCACAAACAAATATCTTGGCCGGTCCATCAACCTTATTACGGTGTGCCATTCTTTTCCTCCTTCCCCACAGGTCCTTTACCTCAGCTTTCCTCTTCTCCATCGAGGTCCAGGTGACCATCGGTTTCGGGGGCCGCATGATGACGGAAGAGTGTCCCATCGCCATCACCGTCTTGATCTTCCAAAACATCGTGGGCTTGATTATCAATGCCGTCATGCTCGGATGCATCTTCATGAAAACGGCACAAGCGCACCGGAGAGCAGAAACGCTCATCTTCAGCCGGAACGCCGTCATTGCTGTCCGCAACGGCAGGCTCTGCTTCATGTTCCGGGTGGGGGACCTGAGGAAAAGCATGATCATCAGCGCCTCGGTGAGAATCCAGGTGGTCAAGAAGACCACAACGCCCGAAGGAGAAGTCATCCCTATCCATCAGCAAGATGTTCCGGTTGACAACCCCCTCGAAAGCAACAATATCTTCCTCGTGGCTCCTTTAATCGTTTGTCACATCATTGACAAGAGGAGTCCCCTTTACGATATCTCTGCCAACGACTTGGCCAGTCAAGATCTTGAAATCATTGTCATACTTGAAGGAGTGGTGGAAACCACTGGGATCACCACCCAAGCGAGAACGTCCTACATAGCGGAAGAGATCCTCTGGGGCCATCGCTTCGTACCCATCGTGACAGAAGAGGAAGGGACCTATGCAGTCGATTACTCGAAGTTCGGGAATACGACCAAAGTGGCGGCTCCACGCTGCAGTGCCAAGGAGCTGGACGAGAAGCCTTCCATCCTCATCCAGACGCTCCAGAAAAGCGAGTTGTCCCACCAGAACTCCTTGCGGAAACGTAACTCCATGAGGCGGAACAACTCCATGCGGCGGAACAACTCCATCAGGCGGAACAACTCATCTTTCATTGTGCCCAAGGTCCAATTCATGACACCAGAAGGGAATCAAAATGCAGTAGAGACATGACAGGTCTCACGTGATAAAACGTCATTCTTTTGTAGAAAAGGGGGGAGGTATTTTTTATTCGTGTTACAAATGTCAGTTCTTAACTTGGTGGGGAACATAGTGGGACTTGGGGTTATTTATTATATGAAAGCACTGAGTCAAGTCAAGACACTAAGGTGACAGGCCTTTGTCTGGACTGCACCACATCAGACTGCTGGGAGGGGGACAAAGACAGAATGCTTTTCTGTACAAAATATCCCTTGAACACAAAGTGCTGCATGTTCAGGAATAGCTAAACCCCTTTGCCCTGACATGCCAGTTTCCGTGTGGAGGGAATTTTGACTATGGGACCGCATTTGGTCATGTGAACAGTCTGAAGTGGTACAGCTCAGACATTGGTTTCACCAGGGCTTTTTTTGTAGAAAATGTGGTACAGCTCAGACATTGGTTTCACCAGGGCTTTTTTTGTAGAAAAAGCCCAGCAGGAACTCATTAGCATAATAGGCCACACCCAACACCAGAAACTCATTAGCATATTAGGCCACACCCCTGCCAGCACAGCTCATTAGCACATTAGGCTGCACCCCCATGTTACCAGAAGTGTGGTTATCCAGCCACACCCACCTTTTGCTTCTTATTCTGTTTACCTTGTTTGTTGTCAAAACCCAGGGCCTTTTTTTGTGGCAGGAACTCCTTTGCATGTTAGGCCACACACCCCTAATGTAGCCAATCCTAATGCGTTTCGGCTGTTGGGTGTGGCCTATTATGCTAATTAGTTCCTGCTGGGCGTGGCCAACTTGGGAGCCATGTGGAAGTAACTATGGGTGGCTTCCCACATTACAAGTCCTGTGGCCTGTCTCCACGGATGTCCGAAAGCGTTACGTAGGATGACCAATCATATGGAACTTAACAATTAGCAGCAGACCTTCTGTAAAGTATTCAGAAACTTCAGCTGGTTATGAATACAGGTTCTTAACTAGGAAGTGTTCTCCTGAATGCTAGGCCTGACCAGTACAGGCAGCAGAATTATATGGTAGGATTCTGAGGTGACAAAACAAATGATACCATTTAAGGCTGCAGGGGAGGGCATCATTTTTTTATACGGGGGGGCATTAGGAAAAGGATGTCCTCCCCCTGCAGTCTTAAATGGTATCATCCAATTTCCTGTCAAAATTCCTGACAAAAAAAGAAGAAATGTTCTAGCCAAGGCCTTTGCGTCTTGTGCTATCTTCCTCATGGCTCCTTTAATTGTTTGTCAGGTCATCAACATGTGGAGTCATGAAGGAAATTACTAATGTATAACATATTAATGTAGAATATAAGTGTTCTGAGAAATACAATCTCATTCTTGTTGTCTGGAGCGGTGCCTTCCATCCTACCAACTCAATACTCGGCCATCTCATTCCCACGTCATTGTGCTGCATGGGTAGACCACACCTAAGGCCTAATTCACACATAAGATTACCTGGTTAGCTGCTGTGGTGGACACTGGCTTGATGTAGCAGCAGTAGAGAAAAATGGAGGAGTAACAATACATCTCAGCATCACAGGGCTTTTCACCCAGAAGTGACATCAGTGCATTGTACGACAGTCTAGGAATTCCCCCAATCTCTATGCTTTTTACCATATGGATCAGGGAAATTCCTAGAGCTTCATATGATGCAGTGACGTCACTGATGTATCCTTCCGCAGACTCTGCCCCCAAATTCTTCTGAGGGCCACAAGCAGGGAGATAGCAGCCCTATTCAAACCTGTTAGTAACATACTGAAGGGGTGAGGGCTGTCTCGTTCCCACCATCACAAACTCGGCGGCTCAAGGAAGAGGGCATGGTGATGTCACGGGGCGGAGCCTGGTGCTGCCACACCCCATAAAGATATTAACTGCAATACTTCCACATACCAATCGGACTTGTTCCGCTTGATCGCTGTGAATTTGTATATTGGCGAAGTTGTGTAGCCACAATTTATGCAGCGTCGAAGGGATGGACTGTTCACCCTAGCCAAAAAAAACCCCATGAAAATTAACTATGCATTAAAGCTAAAACATAGCTGAGCTGTTGGTGATAGATTATCGTCTCACACGTCCTATCTCACATCCCCACCTGACAACCCTACCCTAAGGGGGTAGAACAGACCAACTGTTGAAAATGCAGGTCAGAGATTCCAGTTTTGAATCTTTCTTTATAGTTAAAACCAGGGCTTTTTTTGTAGAAAAAGTCCAGTAGGAACTCATTAGCATAATAGGCCACACCCAGCAGCAGGAACTCATTAGCATAATAGGTCACACCCCTGACAGCACAGCTCATTAGCACATTAGGCCGCACCCCCGTGTTTCCAGAAGTGTGCTCATTCAGCCACACCCACCTTTTGCTTCTTATTCTGTTTACCTTGTTTGTGGTCAAAACCCAGGGCTTTTTTTGTAGCAGGAACTCCTTTGCATGT